AGGCCAGGATAGCCAAACTTTGTCTCTCATACTTCAGACATATTGTCAGGCGGGACCAGTCGCTGCAAAAGGACATTGGATTGGGTAAGGTGGAGGGTCAGAGAAAAAGAGGAAGACCTGCAATGAGATGGAATGGCCAATGGCAGCATCCATGGACTCAAGCGTGGCAACAGTAGTGAGGTTGGACAAGGATCAGACAGTGTTTTGTTCTGCTGTGCATAAGGTCACTATGAGCCGGTACCGACTAGATGGCACCTAACAACAACAATCCTCCTCTTCCTTTTGGTCCACAGAGAGGTCTTCCTGAAGGCCTCCTCTGCCCCTGCCTCTCACTTCCCCTCTTCACACTTTTCCTTTGCTTCTCTGACTACACTCTTTCCAGCTGCAAAGTTACATTCAGTCTGAGTTAGTCTTTGGCTCTGGAATGGAAGTTTCAGGACGAGAAGTAACTTGCCCACTGTGCTGCTGACATGGATCATAGAGACAAACACATTGCAGCTCAGGTAACGTGTGTTGCAGACTCTTGGTGTTGCACTGTAGGATTAACACTAGACTGTTAAACACAAGGTCGGCAGATCAAGCCCACCAGCCGCTCCTTGGAAACACTATACAGGGTTGCTATGAGTTGGAACTGACTCCACAGCCCTCAACAACAATGTGTGTTGCAGGTTCAGCCAGGTTTCCCAGACAGCCTGGTCCATTATTACTCCAGCCCCATCTTAACAGCAAATCTTTTACAGAAAACAGAGGAATCTGAGAGAGTAACTTTTTACCATTAATACAAAGAGGCTTCAAAAACTTCATGGAGTGAAAAGAGAATGGCATTTTTCCATGAACTTTTTGAAGTCCACTTGTCCTTTTTATTTTTTAAACTCCAAGAATTGCCCTTTTACTATTGTTCTAAATATTCTCTGCAACAGTGTTCCCACACAAATCGCCAGACACTGATTTTGCCAAAGAGTAATTTCCAAGACAGATCTTAAATGTTAACTATCCAAAGACATAAAACACACATGCTCACATGTTCCCAAGACTCACAGTGTTTAATGACACAAGCGGCAAAAAAAAAAAAAAAGTCTTCAACCATTTCTGCAATATAGCTCAAGTCATGTCCCCAAGCTTACAAAGGCCTCTGCTCTAGCCTGGTGTCTGCAGGCCGTTGGATCTAATCTGTCAATGATGGCAGTTGGTTAACGTTTTCAGCCTGAGGATTCTGGAATGTTTTGCTGAAGAATAAACAGAGCCTTTTAGGGGGTCTGTTTCCCTGCCCCTTTAAACTATCTACAGGGCTGGGTTTGTTTTGATGCCATGAGACTTCAGTGTTGTTAAAGGTATCACCAAGCCATCTCTTTGAGAACCACCTTCGAGGCTATGAACTAAATATTCAGTGACTTAAGCTAATCCTCTTCACATCTGTCCCTCAAGTCTGAATCGATAGTGAGGACAGATGGTGCCTGCGTGGGCCTGTGCCACCGGTTTACAATGAATCTATAGAACTCACACAAAAACCATGCCCGCATTGCTGAGCAGGTGTTATAACATGGCGCTAGAAGAGCTTCTACGAATGATGAATAGGAATTCTGGAGAAGGGCTTTAATTTTCACTCTTAGAGCATTCCTATGAGCAAAGTAACAGTAATACCACCTTGCATTTGTGGAGTGAGTTACAATTTACAGAGACAAGAGATCCCACTTAATCAACTCTTCCTATGGGGACACCAGGAGGTAAGAGAGCCAGCACTTTGAGATAATATGGCCAAGATTAAGACTCCACAGTGTGTGTGGGGGATGCATGAGAAGGGGTTGGCTCTGAGGCCTGACCTCCCACTCACTGGGAGCTTTGTGATTAATTCACCCATGTGCTTAAGAAGTTTCCTTCCATCTGAGAAAATTAAAAACACCACTCTCTGGACAGGAGTGTGAGGTCATAAATGAGAACCAAGTAGACAAGATTACACAAAACACAAGCTCAGCAAAAGAGAAAACTTGGAAATCGCTAATAAGACATCAATCAAGTAAACGCTAGTAAGAAACCCCTGCTAAAGAAAAAGAGCTTTTAAACAATTCGCTGAACTCCTAACAACACCATTTCTACCTAAGGGTTTCCAGTATCCCCAGGGAAATTTGGTTTGTGTCCTTGCACACTGAGAAACCCACATTCTCCTGAGAGAGAGAGAGAGAAGAAGAGTGAGGAGAGAAGGGGGAGGATAGAGGGATGTCAGGGGGAGGGACAGAGAGAGGGGGAAAGAGA